CTCCTGAAAACAAACAAAAAATTTCAAGTTATATGTTGGCAGTCTGAATAGTCCTTTACATCACCTAGTCAGTGACAAGGCTGTTGAATATACTGATCGGTTCACAAAGATAACTTAAAAATAACAATTTCCAAAGTGACAAAAAATATTACAAAAACAATGCTTTTCCATATTATGAGTCAGTTCAATTTCTTTTTAAATAAAGAAACCTTAAAAGAGTGAATAATGTCACACTCTGAGTGTGATGGTGGATAGTAATAGTATGCTGGACAGTAATAGTATGCTGGACAAAAATAGTTAGGGATATATGTAAATTTTGAAATTATGAATAATGATCTATTTATTCATTGACACACTGATAAAATATAATAATAACAATCAATACCAATATCCCTAACTTATTTTGTCCAGTATAGATGAATTGCCTTACTTAAAGGCTCGGACTCATAAAAACAGTTTTCAAAGTTGGAACCCTTACTTGAATTTGCTACATCTGCATTCCTTAAATCTGGCTTAACATGAATCAGGTTGAGCCTAAATCCCATTCTATTCATAAAACACAACACTCCAAACAGCCAAATCCAATATCCTGCCTACAAAACATCGAGTAGCATATCAATCTTTGATGATACAACAATCAGGGCAAGATGACACATAAACACTACTATCAATCAGGTCGCAACCAGGTCTTCACAAGTTGCCGCCAACAAGCATTGGATACTAAGACACCATTCATACCCGGAATATCTGATGGAAAGCACGAACTGAATTGAATACAAGATTTCTTTACGGTAAGATATGCCTCATACTATGTACAGATAAATAATTTCCTTATAGCAACACCTCAGTTTGTTCAGCCTGGAGCACAGCGATTGATAATACAAAATCAGCCGAGTCAAACTAGTACACAGTTTCTGTAACATAGACATATGATAGGGCTTTAATCAAGTTGTTGCCTATGCATTGAAATACATAAAAAGTTAAAACTTTTTTAACAAAGAATGGTTTTAACTTGCTGGGATTATTTGACCCTTACAGATAGTTTGTCCAGCTGACACTGACTATAAAAAGGAGTGATAGAATAGGCTTGCATTTCACAGCCACAGCTATTATCATAGGACACCACTAGGTGAAAGATTTTGTCTTCCACCCAGTCTTTTGAGATTACAACATCATGTCATGACTGTCTGGGTATGCACTGTGAGCAGTCATCAGATCTAAAATATCTTTGCCTCCAAAATTCTTATGACAAGTTTGATGTACTGAAAACCTGTAATCAACAGGAAGTAATAAACAAAATAATTCTGATATGCATCAGGCACGACAGCTGTAATGCAGTACAATCCAACCAGTATTGACTGAAGTGATTTCCATGTTTATTAATTTAACACGGAAATACAGGAAGCTTTATCTTCATATTTTGGATATTATACAACATTCAGGCAGAAAAGGAGTCTGTTGCCTCTATCATGATTATCCACCGTGCTGTCTACATGCTAACATAGCCCGCCAAGGGCATTTGTTACGTTATAGGTTTCTTTGTTAAAGCTGTACTGATTGGTCAATGTGCACAGCAATGGTATAATTCATATAATACCGAAAATCTGCACAGACTGGGTTAAGTCTTGAATGGTGTCCTTGGTATACACCCGAACCGGCCCCAAGCCGAACCGGCCCCTGGATATTTAACCCAAACCGGCCCCTGAATATTTAACCCAAACCGTCCCCGCACCCGAACCGGCCCCTGGGTTAACGATAATCAGACTGACAATTAATGAAGATTTCAATTAATCTATTATATACTTAGTATACAGACATGAAGATTTCAATTTATTATGTAGATACAGACATGAAGATTTCAATTAATTTATTATATAGATACAGACATGAAGATTTCATTTATTATATAGATACAGACATGAAGATTTCAATTAATTTATTACATATATATACAGACATGAAGATTTCAATTAATTTATTATATAGATACAGACATGAAGATTTCAATTAATTTATTATATATGTATACAGACATGAAGATTTCAATTAATTTATTATATAGATACAGACATGAAGATCACAAAAGTCACACTGCAGGCACTGTTGTCTTTCGCGGCATCTCAATGAGCAGCAAACGCAAGAATCGGACACGTTATCCATGATGAACAAATTATGAATCATGTCCTTCAGATAATGTCTTTTATAAGATTTTACGCAAGGTGAAGATAACAGTATACGGTGCAGTTGACATTGAGTGAACGCAATCAGTGTCAAGTAAGAACATACGCTTAAGACAACATGTAAATTAATTCGCTCACGATAATCCGTTCAAAGAAATATTAAAACAACACATTCACTTTAATCGCTCAGTGAGACGCGCGTAAAATAACAGTTTAATTTTGGAGCTGAAGAATGTTTTAGTTTTCATAATGTTAGCAGAATTCAGTCTGTGAAAGGTGGTTAATGTGTGTTGAAAATCTTGACAAATGTTCCACACATGGAAACATGGGAAAAGATGAAGGACGACATTATTTTTCGTTACTGGAAACTTGGGCATAACAAAGGTGAAACGTGAATTCATTATATTGAATTTATGTGCTATTCTGGTATTGAATTAATGTGTCAATTCTGTGGATACGATACAACGAAATGTAAGTACACCTTTTACTTTAGTATTGTTTTGCAATTGATCTTCTAGATTCTTAAAAGAATTACATAAAATGTCCTCTACCACGTCATTACATGTAAAGACATATGAGTAATATGTTTTCGTCATTTATGTTAAAGGAACTTTAATTCATATGTCAATGTAGAAATATTCTCGGGGACGGTTTGGGGCAAATATCAGGGGCCGGTTCGGGTTAAATATCAGGGGACGGTTCGGCTTGGGGCCGGTTCGGGGGTAATTCGTGTCCTTCACTCCTGTGTTTATGTATTCTTGATAATATCTTAAGACATACATTCTAGCCAGTGATAGCATGAACTGGACCAATAAAACTGCATGCCACATAATATACTTATAGTAGGCTGTTTGGAAATACTTAGATTATTAATAGATTGCATTCACTGTTGTTGGAGACATTCAGTAAAGACTCCATTGACACAGATTGAGGACACCAAGTTAACCATCAGTTTTGATCCGACTACTCATAAATCAATCATTCTTTTTAGACTGTTGACACTATCGTAAAGAATAAAAAACACAAACAAGCCATAACACTTTAATACCTTACCTGTGTAAACTAAGGGGAAATACTTCAGCTCTTAATTTAGACATCTGCACTGACTGGGTTAAACTTGTGAATCATCCGAACTTCTAAATCATACATCATTTAAGTTTAAAAGTATCACAGAAGAGAAAGCAGGGTAAAATATATTAGGAATTATTCCCCTTGTCAGCATAAATGGGGTGTGGTAGACAGATAAAGTTTGGCTATACTTACTAAAGCCTCTTAACGATGTTCAAGTCACATTCTAATGGTCAGACATACTTTTCTTATTCTAACCTGATAATTCTCATCCATGCCACTCCTGATTTTTAATTACCTATTCATCAATATTAGTTTTGGCTTCCTGCACATACTAGTTGCTTGTGCAAGTTTCCAAATAAGATGACACTTTAGCACAATCTACAACTTACAAGCAGGCCAAAATTTCAATCAAATATGTCTTTCAATAGTTTCATGCCACATAGTTGGATTTCAGGATAGAACTGGTGCCCAGAAAACTATTCTGGTCAAAGCCCTGAACCATCTGGTCAGACTCAATGACTTGGTTGATAGAGTGTCATCTTACCCCCATGGCGCGGCTTGATCACAATACTGGATCATCGTCTCTAGAACTGATTATTTACACACTGTCATGATAAAGCAGTGCAGTGTGCAGAGTTAAACAAAACTTACACACAGTGCCAGGCTGCCAAATCGAACCTGATCATGCTGAATACGTTTAAGTGGATGATAACCTTGGGTTCTTCCATTCTTTGAGGTTTATTGGGCCCTGATTGATTGTAGAAATATGGTTAACTTATGTATAATGATGCAGGTCTTAAAATTTACCTGAATGCCGACTGAATATTGAAGTAGACTGGTTAGGTGTCTAACAAAGAAGACATACAAAATCCCACCCTATTCTTTACACCAAGGAAAAACGGGGTCTAGAAAGTTATTTTACATGCTTAACGGCTTTATTGGCTAACTATCGTTGGGTCTTCTGCACATGGCAAGAACGGGTATGGAGTGTTTTATTGTGCCACATTGACCTTGAGGCTTTCAAAACTGATAGCATTTCCATAACAAGTTTCCGCGTTCAGACGTTGATACATGCTTCGTGGATATTCTGCGTGACAGTGTGCACGTTCAATATTTAAGCACACAATAAATAACGCGACAGGCAATTGTTGCGGATGTCCTTCAAAGATATCCAAGGGTCACAGTCCATAGATTATCACAAGTTTATCACACAGGTACAGACACTTACGGTCATTGGTACTTTAAATTTGGGTGGGCCAGACACAACGGTGGCTTTCTGCATTACGTTTGCCTTAACATTCGGCACAGCCTTGCTGATAACTCCTCTCAAAACAGCAGACATTTTCTCGAAAAAATGTTACACACAGATCACGCACCAACCCAACGAAAAATAGGCTAATATTTGGCTTAAAACTACTTCCAGCATTTGATAGTCAAAACAGTTAAGGATGATATTAGACATATTTAGGTAATTTAATAGATTCATACAATTTGTGAAATTATTTGTTTATTTGTTGAACTGACTATTTTATTATAGATAAAATCGAAAACCAAATAATATTCACTATGAAGGTAATGTTTGTTATATGTTGTATTACAAGTATTCTATTTAAAATAGAACCGCATTTATGTTCCAATTCTACTTGATATTCAAAAAATAAATATTTAATACAAGGATAGAGAATGAACGTACATTTATAGTACATAAGCCGCACTGCCTTTAGTAGTGTAGTGTGTATGCATTGTTTTATGTTCCTAAGATGTTTTCTGCGGAGCCATGTACTTGATGGAAAGTGTCATGGCGGATATGTCAAGAAAAGTTGATTTGTGATTGGAATGTGTCTTGATTTCGGCAACAATCTGCTCCCGATGTGAATATATAGGTAAGCATTGTGTTTTATCACATTCGGTTGTTATAGTGCGCTTTCGGGACGTTAATTTATGTATTGTATGGGACGATACTAGCAATTCTGTTTGAGTATTGACGGTACAATTTCAGACTGAAAACACAGAATTTGCCTGTCACATCGAAATCATATTGATGTAAATCATTTTCAAGATCAGGTTTACACGCTTGCATCAGTAGAAATTATACAGCGTTGCTTTTGAAATTCTGTAATAATGAAACACGTCTTATATTTATGGGGAATACGATCCCAAACAGTGTGAATACAGATGCACGTATTTAAAGTTGAATCATCATTCATATAAAGGTTCATATTCATGTCATTTTTTCAAAAGACCTGTGTGTATTTGGTGGGGGGGTTGAATGTATTTTACCTGGGTGCATTTAACTGTTGTGGTGCGTGATGACCATGATATGTTTAATCATTCTTATAAGTTAAAATAACTCAGTTAATTTGCAAATATTATTGTTATGATTATAACTGCGCTTGATGTCACAATTGATAAATCAGTGGCATACACAAAATTCTTGTCATTGGAATGAGGATTTGTCAACAATAACACAAAATAATAATTATATAAGTGTAGTTTGGTTAAAAGTGTTTGAGCTATGAGTTTATCAGAGTATAGGGTGCAGTATTTTATTTTGCATTCAGAAAACCATCAGGGTTTATTTACAGGATGACTATCACATGACTGGCATAACCATGATCATGAACTATGAAACCTTAGCAATGATAAAAATAGTTGCCTTGAAATGGGGTTTCTTCCTTTGATATACCCGGTAATTGATGTCTGTGCATTTAAGAAGGATTAGTCAATCAGGATATCTTAAGATCGATCTTCAATTGCATTTTAAAATTATGATCAAAGTGTCCTTACTAATGATAATAATGAAAGATGATGGGTCAGATTAAAAGAACTCAAGGATGTCCTGGGAAACAATTATTAACTTTCTAACTCTGGCTACAACTATGAACATGATGATGTATCGTCAGTACCAGTGACATGGGGGTGTAGCATAGCAGCTAAAGCATTTCAGTATCCATGATTTCCCATATGGGTAAAATGTGTGAAGAACACTTCTCATGTTTCCTGCCATGACTTTGCTGGAATATTTGCTGACAGTCATAAAACCATATTTACTCAATCATTCATTAGTACCTGTTGGAATCCATGCTTGAAGTTCATTCTGGGTGATTACGAAGACTAATTAAAGACACACCTGCTACTAGTGCTAGAAATATGCTCCGAACAAGCAGTTATTATAAATGATTATAAGGTAGGTTGAAACAAATAATTTTGAACAGTGACCAATGGAGAAGTCACTGTCTGTTCTTAAAACTGACTTGTGGAAATTTGGCAACACCTTTGTCAAGATGAATGAAGTTCCACAGTATAATCATGATGATTATGTGACAAGAACCATCAATATGACACCACATACCCTGCTCACTGACTTTGTTTACATTCACCATTGTTCAGATTTTAAGATGTAAAGTTACTATATCTGTACTATAGCAAGAATATTGTATGATGTTCATTGGGGTCCAAGGATCCTTGAAATTGTTTGAGTTTGCTCCAACCGTATTTGAATCTCTGAATCCCCAGATCATACATTTTGTACATGTAGGCTTTGTCAATTACTTCTTTCTTGCTTAATGCTAAACACTGAGAAGGCCTTTGAGACAGCAGAACCTCCCTTAAACTATAATGTGAAATTGTATACTGTGTACTCTACTGTATAATTCAGTCTCTTGCATGGTGTATGCTCAGGAGAGGTCTTGAGGACAAGCAGACAGAGCTAGTTGTCCATTATGTGTAACTGTGACTAAGTCAATAAACTGTTTGAATGGACATCAGTGCCATGTGCTGGCCATAATCACACATGGAGTAATTATGTGGGGACTTGAATGTCAGAGTGTGATTGACTTTCCAGGCTATCACATATCATGTCAGCCCCATGGAAAGGGTGATAGCACATGCTGTGCCCTCTGTGCTAACAAACATAGTCATGTTGCTTATATTAAGTTATTAGTAATGTGCTGTGAACTCTCTACATATTTAGGATTTATATGTTAATGGTTATTGCTGGTTCTGCCACTGTGAGCATGGTTAGTGTGGTCGCAATGGACAATTAGGGTACATTTATAGCAGGATAAATATTATGAGTATGTAAAAGATTGATTACAAAAGCTCTAATGAGGGTCTTGTTTCTGGAAAATAAAAGCCACTTCAGCATGTTTAGGATTATGATTTAAATTAGTTTGTTGTTTAATGCCACTCTTAACAGTATTCTAGTTATATGATGGCAATTTGTGAATAATGGAGTCTGGAACGGCCAATTCAGTGATTTACACCATGAGCATTGATCCACACAGGACACAATGACATGCCATCAACCAAGTTGCCGAGCCAGGTCACTTGATCCATTTAGTCATCTCTTACCACAAGCTTAAGTTTCTGGAGGTGTACATTTTCTTGTCTGAAATCCCCTCTGATGGACGATAGTATTATGATGAGCTTAAGATATAAATACTTAAATTAATTGTCATTGAATACTTAAATTAATTGTGTTGAAATTACCTTGTTGTGACATATGCTTTAAACATGTGTTTATCACATTAATAGACACAAGTTACAATAGCAAACATGTTTATATTACACATAAGGGAGTTATTAGAAATGATTATTATAATTAGATGTATTAGACTAACTGAGCTGATGTGTCAACATCAAACCAGGAAACATACTTTCTTAATCATTTTTCCCTCAGAAGAAAATACATATATGAAATACAGAATTACCTACTTGCAACAGAGAATAACAGAATGTCTTGCATGTCTTGCAAAGATATTACCAAAAGTTATCTTGGATGTTTGATTCCTAGCTTGTAGGCTCTTCTTGGAATATATGTCTTATAATTATTGATGTTTGTTCTGCTACCAGTCAACAAATAAACGCAAATGTCATTTGAAGTCACAATAAAAATTGTCAGTATGCAAAATCTGTGTTAGAATTCATACCTTATCTATTATCAGGTTGTTTTCCAATCAACTTTGCATATTTGGATGACATGCTGAGTCAGAAGTGCCTTTGACACAATTGCTCTCTCGTGGACTCTACTAGGGTGAATGTCTTTCAGCCTCATTGCAAGCGTAGTTGACCAATGTGGGTGAAGTCGCCTTTTTATCTAAGGCAATGGAAATTTGAAAGTGTAGAATGTAGTATCAGACTAGCTCAGAATTCATATTGATGAATACAGAATTTAGCCAGAGTCTGTTTGCTGAAGCAAACCAATGGTAAGGCAGTGCTGGGCAGATCTGAGGCCAGTGCAAGGTTGAGGACAGGCTGTTTGGTTTGTGAGTCAGGTCAACTTAATATGGCGCAAGTCCTTGTCTGCCAGCCCTTGGCACTGGCTAGGGGTCTCTAAACCAGGGATCTGCCCTCCACATTGCCCACTGGATCAACATGCTTGGTATTGATCTTGTGGCATGGCTGTTAGGTCCACATAGAATAATGAGTGTGATCGTAACAGGCCATGGCGTGTTTGGCACTGTTTGCTCACATTAAACATATCTGTAATGAACATTCGTGAAATCATTACATCGTAATGTTCACTATGAAACTTTATTTACTTATTATACTGTTTGGAAATTTTCCATTGTCTTGTTCAACAAACAACCTTTGATTGTCCAGCTTACATTACAAGCAACAGCAGTTTGAGTTGTTGTTGCTGATAATGAATGAAGACTGTCCAACGTTCATGCTATATCAGTATGTGGGCGGTGGGGTAGCCTAGTGGTTAAAGCATTGGCTCGAGACGCCGAAGACCCGGGTTCGAATCCCCACATGGGTACAATGTGTGAAGCCCATTTCTGGTGTCCCCCACCGTGATGTTGCTGGAATATTGCTAAAAGCGGCGAAAACCAAACTCAGTCAGTCAGCTATATCAGTGTATTGTGAGACACCTGTGATGCTAATCAGGCTAGTCAACATTATAGGCAATGTGGTGTCAGTGTTTTCAGAACTGTGTTCAATGTCTGGGATCAAACAAGGTAGAATGAATTGTGAATAGGATTCATGATGACTTTCTGTTCAAATTTCCTTGATATACCTAACAGTATTTTTATATCCTGGTTGAAAACCCTGTTATCTGTCAGTCTCTTTATGATTCACAAATAGCGTCACTGATTGATTAGATGTTCAAATATCTTTAGGTAAACATGATTAAAGTATCACAGATATATGAACATGATGACTGAATGAGTTGATATGTGTGTGCAGAGATACAAGCTTATCTATATAGGCCTGTAAATAATCAATTGAGTGCTAAATATGATCTTGGCTGATCCATTAAATGCTTTATATTGAATGTATTTCCTCCTTGATAAAGGTAATCCCAGAATGTGTACACATTTTTTATGGCAGTTAATTGTAAATTTACCATGTTTACTATTGATAGTGAGTCATTGAGACCAGTAATATACTGATACATTGATATTGCATTATTTAACATCGCCTATTTACATATGAGTAGGATTACTAGAAATATGATTTGAGATGATTCCTTTGGACATAATACTTTTATTAATTGATCACCATAGCAAGATAAGTACTAGTGACCAAAATGGGTTTGTTTCTACACATGAATATATGAGCAGTTGCCAATACCAGAACCTTTTCAATGCATACATTGCCCTTTAAATTCAGAATTAAGGCTACATGACAAGCAAGGACTGATTTCAACCAGCACATGCAATTGTTTGCACAAATTGTCTTAATGTCAGTTGCAAATTATGGCAAGACATGTTTACCCTTTTAGCAGACAGATGATGTCATCACTGGTTCTCAGTTGTCCTTTCATGTGCTTTTCACTGCTCTTTCACTTTTTACACCCATTGTAATGTGTTTTGTGGGACAGTGGAGACCAGTTAATCTTTGGTTTTTATGGTTGATGGTATCTAGTGTAACTTGAGCATATATCTGTTAGTCATACAAGGGGTTCGTTGGAAAGACATTAGTTTGGTATCCAGTGGTTTAACCTTGTGATATTGGAATGATAATATTCCATGTATGTTATTATGGTGTGTTTATTTAGATTGACATCCTTGTGTACAAGGTATGTGGTAGGCTTGAGTTACAGTAAGACATAAGTAAGGGGTGACACTGCATTTGTCATGCTTGAAGAGCCTCTGTCATGTTTAATGTGGCCCTAGCAATGCTGGCAGTACGGGGCATATTCACATGGTAATAAGCACCTGTTTGTGGAGGATGACAGTATGAGACTGTTCACATATACCCAGCACCCACTTGCCCATGTCAGGTGGAAAAGGTTATTGTTTATGTAGTTTTTAACCTGGCCCTAAGTACATACCTTTGTAGGCGTTTGAGAAATTTACATAAATCTCATGTTTTCTATAAAACTACCTGCTTACATGCATGTATAGTTTGTACTGGTTTGGAGCTTGAAATTCTGAAGAAAATTATAGGGTTGAGTTTTTGCCTATTGTGTTGAGAGTGTTTCTGCATTAGACGTGTATGTTCATGAGCTGGTGGTTTCTGCTCTGGATTCAGGTAAACTGTTTTGTTTGTGTTCCGTGTGATGCTATAGTCCTTGTGCGTGTGTCATGTTGGTTGCAACAGGACTTCTTTGTTTAAATGTAATGCAGGAGTATTATTAATATTAAATTCAAATATTCCTTTCAGTCCTTTCTGTTGATTAATCAGGAGGATTCTTTCAAATGTGGATTTTCAATTTCTACTTTAGAACCAAGGTTTTCTATAATCAGTTTAAATTCCTTTCAGTCCTTTCTGTCGATCATTCAGGATGGATCTTTGAAAAATGAGGTTTCAATTTCTACTTTATTACCAAGGTTTTCTATAATCAGTTTAAAATTAAATTTCATCTCTAAACTCAGCTTCTTCACAAATATTCAGAGCTGCTTTATACAGTGAAATATAATGCACTGAATGAATATGGAGTTTCTTAAATCATGAATTTGACAAATTGTTTAGTTTGTTGATTTTGAAAATGCTTTGTGGTTATTGATATTAGAATTTTGCATGTGGAGTTTATGCATTCTGCTTAAGGTTTGGGCAAAGCCATCAGCCTGCATGTGTGTGAAACTAGTTAATCAATAATTGAATAACCGTGACAATACGATAGCAGTCATGGTAGTTCAATAGCTTTGCTGAAAATGCTTTCCACTGCTGCAAATGACATGTTGTAGAAAAGAATATGTGTATGACTACAGCTGTCTGTGTACTTGACTTGAAGTGGAGTCGATTTCTGTTTAAGAAAGGTTTGTTGGTTTTAATGAAATATGAAAGTGTTCATTAGTGTCAGATTTGTACATACGTATATCGTCAGCTAGCCAGGTCTGCAAGTACCTGTTGTAACAGGCATGGCTGTGGTGTGATAATCTGGAAGCAGCATTCCTATCATCATCATTAGCAGATTGATGTGAGGTGTGTTATTTGTTGGTCATGATGAGACTTACACTTCACCAAGGCTGTCACGGGTTCTTGTGGCAGTCAGTAACAGGCCATTGTCATCTGCCGCGTGGAAGGTGTTTCCTTGTAACCTTGATGATGATGGTGATGATGATAAAAGCGAAAAGATCAGTCTGAAAACAGGTAGATATAAACAAACGTTTTTGCAAAATATATTTGTGTGTTTAGCAGTTTGGATTAAATTGTATGCACTTGAACTTTCTTTATTTCATGACTGTTATTTTAATGTTGAATTTCAATTTGGGATCTGTTATGGTTTAGAGAATTTGTAAACACTTGTAATGTTGGTTGCCTGATGGACTGTTGCTTCATTCTAAGTTAGAACTTAAGGGGGTCCTTGATTTTGATGTTATGATAATAATGTGAAGATCCTGAAATCTTCTGGGTTGTCCAGTTTTCTTCTAAATTGGCTCTACAGAGTTGTATTGCTTGGACCCTCTAGTGAGTGAGTGAGTGAGTTTAGTTTTACACTGCTTTTAGCAATATTTCAGCAATATCATGGCAGGGGACACGGGCAATGAGCTTCACACATTGTACCTGTGTTGGGAATGAATCCTGGGTCTTCGCCGTGACGAGCGAACACTTTAACCACTGGGCTACCCCACCCTTTGAAACACTAGAAAACTATTATCATGGGTTCTAATCCCTGTCGTTAAGTTGTTTGTTGTTATGTCAGCACGACAACCATGTTTGTGGGTTACATCATGCATCACTTATGGCTTTCTTCAGGCATTAAGCTAACATGCTGTGATATACATGTGGCTAGTATACTGTTCAAAGTGATGTTAAACCTCAATCACTCATTCTTCAGGTTTGTGAAAAAGGCTGTTACAAGGATGCTTTGACACTTAGTAATGCAGACTTTGGCTTGCTAAGATGATTGATACTCAGAAATATCGTCGATGGGAAGAATTATGAATGATTATGGATATGCAAATTATGTTATCAAAAGTTTATTACATAAACTGTAGTGATAAAATGGAGTTGTAATGTTCCCACTCAATACTCAAAGTTCCGTCTTTAGTTGTGGTCTGCTTGTAAATTATATCAGAATGCAGTATGTGATAGTAATCCATTCATAAAAATGTGTTACCACTTATCAGTGATGGAAAATATGTTGATTTCTTTTGGGCATTTTTTGCATTTCTGCTCAAAGGTACTTTTTCAGTATTTATCAATAATAGATAAATATATAGTTAATGGGTGAGGTGAGGTGAAATTGGGTTTAATGTCGTGCTTGAGAATATTTCGCTCATATGACGACGTGCTTGCGTGTGTATGTGTAGGTGCGGCTGCTTGTACTAGCCCAGACTTAAGCTGGTTTTATAGTGCTAGCTCACTGAGATACCATGCCGCAGTGAAGCATGAATACCCCACTCAGACACATTAAACTGACTCCGAGCCAACCAGTCCTTGATGTACCCATTAATGCCGAGCGCCAGGCAGGGACCAACAAGTACCATATTTTAACGTCTTTTGGTATGACGCGGTCGGGGATCGAACCCGCGACCTTCCGCTCTCCGGGCAGACGCTCTAACCACTACACCACGGAGGCGGTCACATAGTTAATGATTATCGATCTCCCTAAACTAGATCAATAGTTAATCCAAACTGTTTTCTTATACTAACCATTCTAACTGGTGCGATAGAAATAAATATAATCTTTATATTTTGTTACCATAGTGATTCATAGTTATGTATTCATTTAAGTGATATGATTTGGCTTTTGAAAAAGTTTTTTTATGATCAGTGTCAAGAAGTATGAAAAATTTATATTTGTGTTTCCATAAACATGACAAAATGCTGCAGTATTTCCATTGTGATAATATTTCCACAGCTCAGATCAATATGAGAGTGTGATGAAAGCCAGCATATCTGCATGTACACAGTATTATTTTCTACAGTATTAATTCAGATATTGAATCACGCACTGAGGTCCTTCAGTATGCTGATAAAGTAATTTATCACAGAGCAATGTAGAGTGAATTCCTTTGTATACAAAGTATCGGTGTATAATCATGACAGCGATTGTCCCAGCTGCTGTGATAGAAATGATTCACTCAGACGATGCAGGGATACAGACAGTGAGTAAGGCTTTGGTCTCACTTCTACTTTAAACATGTACCACTCATGCAGTGTGGTTAACTCAGGTTGGTTGTGTGCTTTTGATGAGACGTATTTTAGGAAACTTTGTAAACGTTTCAGGATATGGTATTCCATTTTGTATTTAAGGTATTCTGATGTTCAGTATTGTGTACAATGTAAGTAGCAAGTTATATGAAAGGACAAGGTTTTGTTTGCTATTCACATTTCAGGGATATAATTAATGCCTTTCAACATGATTTTCAATAGAGACATGTACTAATTGGTTGTGTGGCAGTTGTTACGTACTTGGGTGAGGCTGCAGGCTCACAGATTAGGTTAGAATCTGTACAGCTGTGCTGGTGTTGTTTCCTTACTGTGTCCGCCCCTTCAAAGAGACAGTTGTTATATAACTGAGATAATGTTCTAAAAGGCTGCGTGACACAATGTCATGCATTAGATTCACAGTTCTGTTGGCAGAAACAAAACTCTCATTAGTCTCCATGGATATATATTACCCATAGCCATGATATCCTGTGAAATTACTAAAATGTGAAGGTGTTTCTTTGTATAACATTATAGTAAAACAAGTGACCAAAATGAGATTATTTTTACCAATGAAGTAATTGACGTCATTGTGGTGAGCATGCTGTTTTAACCAATGTTTCTGAAATAGACACTTCAGATATTAGTATATTAATACATCAGTATGCTCATTGCTCAAGTTGAGTGGATGCAAGAGATGGCTGTATAATGTTTCATGATTACTATCCTTCATGTTGTGTTTATAACAGAGTTTAAGGTTGAGGGGGCTCTTAGTAATTTGATTCTATAGTATTTGAAGCTAGGGATCATGTATATAATTATCTAATGTTCAGCATTAGGGTTATGATAAGGACTTCTTGACCCTCATGTTCTGTCAGATGAGATTTTATTGGAATGTATTTTTTCCGGAGGCAGGGCATTTGGTTGTTTTAATTTAAACACAAAAGTTGCAACTGAGACAAAATAATATTTTCTAATGAATCAAAACTAGAGTGTAGTGGTGAACTGAAAGCTTTTTCATAAATATTTTAGTGTCTCTTGTCAAAGGGGAGCTGATCACATGCAACTTCAGCTAACATGGCGTTAGGTAACTGAGATTTCTACCTAGATACTTCATTTTCATTTTTTCCAGTCAGTCAGTCTGTTAACCAAATTATGTCCCATAAAAATGACGTTGCCAGACCTACAAGACACTGGAACAGCGATGTTATCAGTAAGTATCACAGTCTGTTAGCAAGCTATGTTTGTGTAGCAGTGCAACGGCTGACTGAAGCCCACTCAATGGGAATCTCGCTGCCAGCATGGCATTAATATAAAGTGAGACACAAGGCACTTCTCTGGTTTTCTGGAGGCATAAACATGGAGTTTAACTTCTATCTGAGTGCTCTGAAGTGTAAGTTATGGAGATGAATGAGAGAAAAGAGAAGGAGAGATATCCGAGGATGAGTAGCATTGGTGGGAGGGGAAATTTGCAGGAAAGGAAAGTAGAAAGAGTTTTTCAGCATTTCCAGTGATGCATGTGTGACTACTTCATCACACTTACTTAAGCATGGAGAAACTTTGCATTAGTTAATGGTTTGTTTTAACCTTTCTGGCATTTGAAACTTTAGACATGTGAAACGTAATTGTGTTAAAATTAAAATGTTGAAATGACGACATTGTCATTGATTTTGTGTGTGGAGAGGGAATGTTCACTCCTTTTAAGATTCCATTTGTTACCATAATTATCAAGGCACTGACTATTGACCAGTTTCATTAGGCTATGTTTCAAGATTAATTTCCTTTTTTAAGAATTTATGATTATCATAGTATAGTTTAAGCTTGAAATATGTGAGCAGATCCAATAAAGACAGGTAAATGCAATGTTTATTCATATTAAAGAAAATTTACTATTTCCCAAAAACACTCAGATGATAACCTTTAGCTAATTAACTTTTGAAAATAATTTAATGACATGTTGATAATACTTTATCATGGTTTGTTTAGAAAAAAACCCAATTGATTCTCTATGTTGAGCAAACATTTACATGTTTCCCTCAAATTAACAGGGATTACAGTGAAGTTGTAGTTTAAGAAAAGTTGTGGCAGTGCTCTAATTTACTTTTACTATAAGACCTACATGACCTGATGTTAAATGAGGCTAATGCAGTGTTTCCAATGCTATATTATGCCATGTATTTGATGATTTGACTTTTGTGATCCATTTCTTCATATTGGCAGTAGATCAGGGATAGAAAGTCACTGGTCCATGAGTCTGAGGCAAGTAACAGCTTAGATGGTTTAGTTGTTTTATCTTCTAATTTTGTGAGTTTCCATGAGCACTATTCCTAAATGAGCTGTGGACTAGTTCAGTATTCCCAGTCTACTAGGGCTGGTATGAATGCATAACACTTACCACAAATAAAGGGAATAAATATGAACATATTTCTACAATTCTGTAATTGTTGTATGATTCAACAGGGCTTTAAGGAATGGGCAAATGTGTGTCCAGTACGCACAAATGAAGAGAATGGACACACACACACACACACACACGCACACACACACACACACACACACACACACACACACACACACACACACGATCAGGCACAATATTATTCACTGTACTCACAACACATCTATGACTTTTCTAAGTGTTTGGTTGTTTCTTTCAAAAGCAGTTACGTACATCATTTCACCCAACAGTCCAGATTATCAATGATTCAGTCCAGGCTCTAAAGAAATGATCAAAACCTACAGTTCCCCACATCGCTATGTCACAAGACCATCGTATTGCCTGCAAGGACCCTTAAAACTAATAATTAGGGGCCCCGGGATCCCCATTTTTGTGAGTCAAGGTAAACCCCTGATTCAGTTGAGTGAAACAATATCATGATTATTTATTTAGAAAGTTTTGATGCTGCTGTCTGTGTTAATTTATAATTTCAGTGACCAGTGACCACATTACTGCCCAATTAAATATTTGAGAATGTTGACTAATACCCTGCCTGGCT